ACCCTAGGGGAGGCCTTGCAATGGCATGTCCAGGGCTTTGGTATTAAGGTCTCCAGCTTTCTATTTCCTGGATTCAGTCCCAACAGCAACAAGGACAACAGTCAACATGCTGCTTACAGTTCTTGCCATGCCATCTGCTAGGTCCCCTTGGGAATAAGCTTTCTGACTCTTGTTAGATTGGCAGGGAGTATCCATGGCCACACCCAAGAGCATCTCTGAGCCTTCTGAAGACTGGCAGGTGTTTCAGATGGTGGGAGAAACAGCAGCACATGTCCTATTCCGACATCCCATGCATGTCACCAGGGGCTATACTAATAAAAGGGTAATATGCAAATTGGTCATGATGCTGTCACAGTAACAACCCAACAGCAGGCTGTGTGGGCGACCAGGCTATCAGGGGGGCCAGTGAGGGGTGACCAGGCCGGCAGGAAGGGCAGTTGGGGGCAACCAGGCTGGTGGGGGGTGGTAGTTAGGGGCAACCAGGCTGGCAAAGGGGGCACTAAGGGGCAACCAGGTTGGCAGCAGGGGGGCAGGGGGGAAGTTAGGGGCAACCAGGCTGGCAGGAGGGGAAATTGGGGGCAACCAGGCTGGCAGGAGGGGCAGTTAGGGGCCATCAGGCTGGCAGGTAGAGGCTGCCTCTTGCACACCCTCTACTGGGGATGTGCCCACAACCAAGGTACATGCCCTTGACCGGAATCGAACCCGGGACCTTTCAGTCCATAGGCCAGTGCTCTATCCACTGAGCCAAACCAGTTTCAGCTTAAAGAAATGTTTTAAACATTTTTTTTTAAATACTGGTTTTGTCTAGGAAACTATATTTTCTTAGATTCTAAATAACAGGCTTGATGAATAGAGCAAACTTTGTTGTAAGTTCTTGCTTTTCATCTCTTTGAATATTTTATGCCTATTCTTTTTGGACTGCAAAGTTTCTGTTAAGAAAACAGCTGGTAGTCTTATTGGAGCTCCCCTGTACTTAACTAACTGCTCTTCTCTTTTTGCTTTTAAGATTCTAGCTGGTTTGTCTTAGTGCATAGAGTGTTGGCCTGTATACTGAAGGGTCCTGGGTTCAATTCTGGCCAAGGCACATGCCCAGGTTGTGAGCTGGATACTCAGTATAGGATGTGTAAGAGGCAGTTGATCAGTGATACTTTCTCATCATTGATATTTCTATCTCCCTCTTCCTCTCTGAAATCAATAAAAATAAAAAATAAAGAAGATTCTCTTTGTCTTTAATTGTTGGCATTTTACTTATGATGTGTCTTGTTTTGGGCTTCTTTTCTGTGTTTCTTGGACTTGTATATTTCCTTCTCCATTTTAGGGAAGTTTTCAGTCATTATTTCCTCAAATAGGTTTTTAATTCCTTGCTCTCTTTTTCTGATATCTTTATGATGTGAATTTTGATATGCTTGATATTATTTTAGGAGAATCCCTTCATTTACTCATTCTTAGAAAAAAAAAATATTTTTGCTGTTCCTATTAGTTGTTTTCCATAATCTTATGTTTCAAATTACTGATTTAATCTTCTGCTTCATTTAATTTGCTTTTTAGTCTTTCTCATGTATTTTTTCTTTTCAGATAATGTATTCTTCAGTTCTGTTTTTTAATGATCTTTATGTCCTTTGTATGTTTTTTGAAGTTCTCATTGAATTCATCTCTTTTTTTCCCTAAGTTAATGAAACATCCTTAAAACCATTGGTTTGAACTCTGTATCTGGTATATTGCTTGCCTCCATTTTGTCTGTTTTGTTTTTTTTTCTTTTTTCTTTTTTTCTGGAGTTTTGTCCTGTTCTTTCATTTGGGTTATATTTTTTTGCTTTCTCATTTTGGCCCACTCCTTGTTTTGTTTTTACTTATTTGGTTGATCTGCTATGTCTCTTGTACTTGATAGAGATATCTTATGTATAAGGTGTCCTGTGGTGCCAAGTGGTGCAGTCTCCCTGGTTATCTGAGCTGGATCCTTCATGGGTTTTCCTTGTGTGGGTTGTGTGTGCCCTCCTGCTGTAGTTGAGCCTTAATTGCTGTTGGCAGTTCAGGGGGTGTGATTGACCCTCTGACTGACTGGCTATGAGGGCTGGCTGTAAGTACAATAGACAAGCTGTTGTTTGGCAGCTGACCCTGTTTGTGTTAGCCATGTTTGTCCTCCAGGAGCATTGTTTGTGGAGCTGGTTGGAAGGTGCTCTTGTGTGATTTGTAGCTGGCCATTGGTATGTTGCCTCTAGAGTCTTTTGGGAGGAGGTTTGGTGCAGGCCCAGGTCAACTGTTGCTTGTATCTGGCTTGAGGCCTCTTGGTAGGAGCTATAGAGTGATCTGTGAGTGGTTGCCACTTTTGCTGGGCTTTAGGCACCTGGGAGAGTCTACACTGAGCACAGAGACCGGCTGCCACTTTCTGGCCTAGGTGGGCACCACAATATGAGCTGAGGCCAGCTGCTACTTGTGCCAGGCTTGTGGCTGCTTCATTGAAACTACATATCAGCTGAAGATGGCCACTGCTTATGACAGGTTTGGAGCCACCTGATGGGAATTACAGTGCAAGTTTATACTGGTTTGTCCCTTTTTATCTGCTTGAAGCTGTTAAGAACTGTAAGGCACGCTAAGGCCAGTCACTGCTTGTATAGAGTTTATGCACCTTTATGAGATTTTGGCAAGGTGTGTGGTATGATTTGAAGCAGGTCGTTCCTGCAGAGGAGCCTTGAGGATCAGGCTCAGAGTTGGGTGAGATGGGGTCTCAGGGGATCACCAGGATGAGTGAATGGTTTCAGCCAGGTTAACGGAGAGCATAGATTTGGCACTTGCCTATGCTGAGTCTACAAAGAAATAGTGGCACTTGCCAAAATTTTTGTTGTCTCCAGAGAGAGTTGCTCTAATCCCTTTTTCTCCATCCTTATTCTGAAGTTTGTCCTTGATGTTTCTTGAACTGCTGCCCTTGTGCTGGAACTTAAGACAAGTGAATTTTTGGATTTTTAAAGAGATTCACCTCAGTCTCCAGCTGCTCCCTATCCTTTATGGATGCAATGTGTACTGATCTTCACAGCCAGATGTTATGGGGACTCCTCTTCTTGGCACTGATATCCCAGGTTGGGGAGCATGAAGTGGAGCTGGGACCCCTTGGTCCTCAGGGGGAACCACTGCAGTCTAGATATTCCTCTTGATTCCTAACCACCATGCCTGTGTGTGGGACCTGCGTGTTCCACATCTCCACCCCTCCTGTCAGTTTCATTGTGGCTTGTTTGCATCCTTAGTTACAGGGTTCTGCTCAGCTGCTTCTCATGGATGGTGATTGTATAATTTAGTTTTAATTTTGATGTGATCATGGGAGTAGACGAGCACAGCATTACGTACTCCACCATCTTGACTGGAAGCCTCTAGATTTTATTTTTATAGGAAAGTACGTTACTAAAAATATGTCTTGAACAAAGATGTGAATAATTTTGGTCAGTTCATTCTGGCTTACTGATGTTTGTATGTTTTATGGTGGTTTCTCTCCCAGAAAGAATCATCTCTGTAAATAATATTCTTGGGCTTTATTTCAACTTTAAATTTTGTTGGTATAGTATATGTGCAAGCATCCTAAGTAATAACTTTGTACATGCATGCTTTTCTATAAAACTGTAAGGTCATGATCTATTTGTACTCTGTCAATATCAGACTTTCTCACTTCTATCTTTCTGGAGGAAAAGGGAATGGAAAAAAAAATCTGTAGCTTCTTATAAGCTTTGGGTACACAGTGACTTAAGTGTTGATATAGCTCTGATTGACACAGACATTAACCCCCTTTCAACAGACCTTACATTGTGTGCTGCAGTTGAATGTCAGCAGAGATTGCCTTCACATAGCCAAGCGTCTTGCCTACAATGTGTGTTCATTCAACAGAATCCACTTCCAGTAATGGCACTACCAATGTTAGCTGTTAACACTTTCCAGAGCTGATGATTTCACCTACTTGTTTTTTCTTCACCCTTCTATCTTGTTGTTAAGTCACTTACCAGTATTTCAGTGACTAAATTTGGAAAGCTTGTTAACCTCATTAACCTTTCCAGGTGTTTGAAACTTTGGGTTGTAGAGAACTGGGAGAGAAGTGAGCTTGATATTAAAATGCTTTTGGAATGAACGGTATTCTTATGGTTCATTATAGTTCTGTAATGGCTCTGTTTGTTACTAGTGAGCATTCTCAAATTTAAAACACTGTAGAAATGGTTCTTATAGCACCCCTTTATTGCTCAGTTGTACTTTAAAGATTTTTTAAAACTTATTTTGATTTTATTTTTAATTGAATGAATCACTTCAATCTTGACATTGCTTAGTATGATATTTTTACTATTGTAATTTCTTATTGGGGTACTGTCTTTTCTGTACTTTTCTTCCTCCACGTATTCCTCTCTCTCTTTTTTTAAACCTTTCTTTCAGTTTGGGGAGTCAGAACAGACTTTCTAGAGAAGATGATGCCTGACCTAAGAATGAAAGGATAAATAGAGTTTAACTAGACATGGAGATGGAGAGGGCAGAGAAGACTGCATAAGAAGAGGTTAAGGAGTAAATGCTGAATAGTATGGGGTTTAGGTAACTAAAGAATACCAATTTATCCTGAATTCTAAATTTTTTTAGTTAGAGAAAAATTATGTTAAATTAAGGTGAATTTTTTTTTGTCTGATATGTTTGTATTTTTGTGAATTTCCCATATCTTTTCTCTCCCTTCCCCTCAGTTCTATTTAGTAATATCTTCAATTATTTTGAACAGTGTCTTCATTTTGTCATGGCTTATGCAAAGTGAGGAGCTGCCATACTTGTTTCCTTTTGGGAATAAACATAACAAATTATTGATATTTTACAGATTATCTCAATTTTTTTTTAAGACAATGTAATACTGAATAACATGGATCCTGATTGGCTAAATGCAGGGTTCTGAGAGCCCTGGTAGTTACTTTCTGACTCCCCTCTAGGTTCTGTTTTTGCTGCTTGAGGAGGAAAGCTGATATGGTGTTTTCTTTTTTGTCTTGGTTCTAGCACATGCAAATGACAATTCAGGCTCTCCAGGATGAATTACGGATCCAAAGGGACCTAAACCAGTTATTTCAGCAAGACAGTAGCAGTCGGACTGGTGAACCTTGTGTAGCAGAGCTGACGGAGGAGAATTTCCAGAGGCTACATGCTGAACATGAAAGACAGGCCAAAGAGCTCTTTCTTCTTCGAAAGACTCTGGAAGAAATGGAACTGCGTATTGAGACTCAGAAGCAAACCCTGAATGCTCGGGATGAATCTATCAAGAAGCTTCTGGAGATGTTGCAGAGCAAAGGACTCTCTGCTAAGGCTACTGAGGAAGACCATGAGAGAACAAGACGACTGGCAGAGGCAGAGATGCATGTCCACCACCTAGAAAGCCTTTTGGAGCAGAAGGAAAAAGAGAACAACATGTTGAGAGAGGTGAGTGACCATTTTTTCAATTGTTACAACTTACTATCTTTTTATTGTGATTAGTCAGCATCTTGGCCTAAATAAATTTATGTGCTCCACCAAGCTAGCAGAAGGGAATTTTTTTCTTTGGTATTTTAAGTGGTTCACTGCTTTCTGTTCTGATTTGCTCTCTTGTATGAGATAACAGTGACTGGTATGTGTACTGGCTTGATAATTTTCTGGGTCTTTCTTTTCCTCTCCTGGTTTCTATAGATTCATTTTGTTGCTAGAAGGGCACAGCGTTTTTTTGTATGTTACTCGTCTTTTGATTTGTTTAGAGAGACATATGCAACAAAACCAGAATCAGAGTAGCTAACCATTGGTCAATTTAAAAATATTAATAAGAGAAAGTAAGCAGTAACTTCAGTTTAGGTGTGCTCATAAATGGTGTGACAGCAATAATGGATGTTTGCCTTGTGGTTTCCATGGAAACTGTTGCCTTACTGTAAAAATATATGTGATAAAAATAATTTGCTGCCATAGAGGCATAGTGAGAAAGGACATATAGGCATACTGTCACTTATATTTTAGAGAGAAAACTCAGACTTCAGCTGACCCTTGTGGTTGTTGATAAGTTTTCACTTTTCTGGTAATCATTTTAAGAAAGCATAAGTAAAAAAATTTTTTTAAATTAGCCGAAATCGGTTTGGCTCAGTGGATAGAGCGTCGGCCTACGGACTGAAAGGTTCCTAGTTCGATTCTGGTCAAGGGTATGTACTTTGGTTGCGGGCATCCCCAGTAGGAGTTATGCAAGAGGCAGCTGATAGATGATTCTCTCCATTGATGTTTCTAACTTTCTATCCCTCTCTCTTCCTCTCTGTAAAAAAATCAATAAAATATATTAAAAAATTTTTTTTCTTACATTGAATTAAAAAATTGATAGCTTAATTCTCTACATGTAGTCAGAGAGTTAAGATAACTTTCAGATCTGGATAGGGAAAAAACAGCTTAGAGCTGTGTTAATACCAGTGTGAATAATTTCTTTTTAAATGAAATGTAAGGAAGTAAGTTTTTTTTTTTTTTTAAATGGGATATTCCCAAAACAGGAAAATGGCAACTTTAAAAGAATGCTTTTAAACTTATAGTTTGTTTCAGTTTCTCCTTTTGTAAAAAATCTGAAATATCTACACTGAGGACATTTTTATTTTTTAAACAGAAATTTATTGGTTGTTTTTTAAAAAATAAATATTTAAATAAAAATTTTTAAAATTACAGAGTAAATTCATGTACTTTAGTATAGTAAAATTAGAAAATAGATTAGCAAAAACTTTAAACCCAAGGTATTATTTTCTAGTGATAACTGTCAGTTTTCTTATGTGTAAGCATAATGTAATGTTACCCACTTTTTTTTTTTTTAATATATTTTATTGATTTTTTTTACAGAGAGGAAAGGAGAGAGATAGAGAGCTAGAAACGTCGATGAGAGAGAAACATCGACTAGCTGTCTCTTGCACAACCCCTACCGGGGAGGGGATGTGCCCGCAACCAATGTACATGCCCTTCACCAGAATCAAACTTGGGACCTTTCAGTCCGCAGACCGATGCTCTACCGCTGAGCCAAACCGGTTTCGGGTACCCATTTTCTTAATAAGTTGTCTTGACTGTCTGTCTTTTTCAATACGTGTAAAGTTATATATAATAATTTAAAATGCATTTATTATCTTTCAGTGCATTTATTTGAATACTAGAGGCCCAGTGCATGAAATTTGTGCAGGGGTGTGTATGTATCCCTTAGCCCATCCTGCACTCTCTCCAATCTGGGACCCCTTGAGGGATATCAGACTGCCCGTTTAGGCTGGATCCCTCCTGATTGCCCCTAACCGCTTCTGCCTGCCAGCCTGATCACCCCCTAACCACTCCCCTACCAGCCTGATTGATGCCTAACTGCTCCCCTGCCAGCCTGTCTGCCCCTAACTGCCCTCCCATACAGGCCTGGTCTGCCTCAACTGTTCTTCCCCGCAGGCCTGGTCACCCCCAACTTCCCTCCTCTGCCGGCCTGGTCACACCTAACTGTCCTCCCGTGCTGGCCTGATCACCCACAACTGTCCTCCCTTGCAGACCTGGTCCCTCCCAACTGCCTTCCCCTACTGACGATCTTGTGGCGGCCATCTTATGTCCACATAGAGTAAGTCATCTTTGACCACATGGGGGCAGCCATCTTGTGTGTTGGAGTGATGGTCAATTTGCATATTATTCTTTTATTAGATAGAAGGATTAGATAGGATAGAGGTCTGGTGCACGGGTGGAGGCTGGCTGGTTTTCCTTGAAGGGTGTCCTGGATCAGTGTGGGGGTTCACTTGGGCCGTGGGGAAGCCTGGGTGAGGGGCCTATCGTGGTTTGCAGGCTTGCCACATCTTGTCAGCAACCCAAGCAGAGGCCCTTGTATCTGGGATTTACTTATCTTCTATAATTGAAACTTTGTAGCCTTGAGCAGAGCTAAGCTTCCTGCTCGCTCAGTGGCCGCAGCCATTTTTGTTGGGATTTATTTATCTTCTATAATTGAAACTTTATAGACTTAAGCGGAGGCCAAGGCAGGCCAGGGCAGGTGGAAAACTTGGCTTCCTCCATTGCCTCAGAAACCCAAGCCTCCTGCTCTCTCTGTGACCGCAGCCATCTTGGTTGAGTTAATTTTCATAGTCGCTCCAGATTGGCTGGTTGGCATGGCTTGTGGGTGTAGCAGATGTATGGTCAATTTGCATATTACTCTCTTATTAGATAGGATCTTTGTTGAAAATTTAGACCTCTGTTAGTTTTTTAGTATTATCAACTGTGCCATACTAAATATCCTTAATCATCTATCCCTACATATTAATTTTTTAGGATAAATTTCTATAAATTTTGCTCAGTCAAATAATGTGTACATTTTTGAAACTTGTCTTTAAAATTTTTTTTAATTGATTTTATAGAGGAAGGAAAAGGGAGAGATAGAAACATTAGTGATGAGAGAGAATCATTAGTTAGCTACCTTCTACTCTCCCTCTATCTGAGATCGAGGCTGCAATCTGGGCCTGTTCCCTGACTAGTATCAAATCTGTTACCTCCTGATTCATAGGTTGATGCTCAACTACTGAGCCATGCTAGCCAGGCTATCTTATCTTTTAGAGTGATTGGACCAGTTGAACCTTCCAAAATCTACTAACTATATTGTTACGATTAATCTGTTACAATCTATATTTTATGCTCTTTAAATTACCATCACATCATACTATCTTAGGAACATTTCTGTAAATTTCAATGTTATAAACACATCCTGAGTTTCTTTCAGTTTACTTTAAATACTTTATATTTCATGAGATAATCTAGAGTCTGGCCATAGAGTATCAAACAGCATGCAACATGAAAACTATACAGCATCATGATGAACTTTGAATGTTATACTTTTACTGATTCTGTTCTGAATATTTCAACCTATGCCCATTTAATTTTGAGTGTGGGGGTTAATAAATAGTAAATAGCTAAGTATTATGAAAAGCCACCAACTTACTCTGACAGAGAACAATCAGAATTTTGGCAAATTTGAAAAAGTGGTAGGAAATCCATGAATTTATGACTGATTTTCAAATAAACTCTGTAGATATCAAGTCTCATTTATGTACTTAATGTGGAAAGAAATATAGGCTTTGTTCGGGAGATCCAAGATGATGTAGGAGTGGGTGGAAGCTACACTTGCTGCCTCTGAGTACCAAACTGGAATTATATCTAAAATTATAGAACAATCATCCTGAATACTGCTGAAGAGAAGTCTTATAACCAAGAATTTACAGAAGCAGCCACAATGAAACTGAATCTGGGACAGACTAAGCTATATGGCTCTAGAACAGGGGCCATTTTCTCCTCACATGCCTGACTGGAACAGAGTCCTGCCTTCAGTTGGCTAAGTATTGGCCTGCTGAGTCATCAAGCCTCATCCTGATGATTTCCTGAGATCCCACCCCAACACAAAGGTGTGCAAGCATACAGTTAGATATGGTAGTCCAGGGAGCATTTACTGAGTGGCCATAGACCCAGTACTGGCACCTGTATCAGTCTGGTGAACACCACTTGACCCTACCTGGTGACTCACTGTGAGCCTACTTCATATAATTTGAGTACAGCCAGAGGTTCTGTCAGTGACTGAACCTTTCAGGCAAGAAGCAGGCAGAAGTGGATTTCAGGGAGCTTTGGGACTTTGCTGATCTGCCCCAGTGCCCGGTGCTAGTAAAATCCTGCTGTGATGAGCAGCTTGGTCCTTCCTGCATACACCCAGGTCCAGCAGAGGCAGCTACAAATTGCCAATCTCAACAGTCACAAACAGGTTGCCATGAGCCAGTCATAGGCATTGTCTGACTTTGGCCTGCACCAGAGTCCCTCTTATGAGGCCCCAAAATCAACACACCCAGTGACCAGCTTCTGATAAAATCAGAGCAGGATTCAATTAGCTTCACAAGCAGCATATTCAAAGGGAGATCATGGCAGCACCACACCCTGCTGAATGAATTTACTTCATGTGGTCAGTACCTGCACAGCAACTTGCATGCCATGGTTGGGGTTGAACCTCACAGTCAGCCAGCCTGAAGGTCCATTCTGCACAGGAATATGCCAGTATCAGTCAGGACTCGGTAACAAACAGGCAAGCCCCCATAACTCACATAAGGGCATTCTTGGAGCACCAAATTCAGGTGATCAAGAAGATTGCACCACTGAATTCCACAAGGACACCTACTACATAAGGCCACTCCATGAAGACATGGAGGCAAAGTAGATCTATGTAATACATAGAAATAACAAAGAGGAAGCCAAAATGGGGAGACAAAGAAATATACCCCGAATGAAAAACAGGAGAAATCTCCAGATGAAGATCTAAATGAAATGGAGGCAAGCAATTTATCAGATATAGAGTTCAAAGTAATGGTTATAAGGATGCTCATCAGCATGAAAATGGACATAGAAATCATGAAAAACAACCAGTCGGAAATGAAGAATGACATAGC